GGGTGACAAAATATTATGAACCTGGGGGCCCCAAACCTGTAGGGAAAGCATGTCTCCAAGTGGGCACCATGGCCAAGGGACATATATAATGAAAGCAGGAGGGCTCCATGGCTGAGGGGCCACATATAACGAACCCAGGGGGCACACAATGACTCGGGGCCACATGTAATAAATTCTAGTAGGCACCACATATAACGGACACCGCGAAACTCTATGGATAAGGGGCCACATATAATGAACCAAGGGGCAGCACGACAGCTGATGGGGTCACATAAAAAAAACTCAGGGGGGCACCATGGCTGAGGGGCCACAAATAATACACTCAGGGGAGCCCCATACAATAAATGCAGGGGACGCACAACAGATGAGGGGCCACATATAATAACCCAGGGGTCTCACGATGGCTGAGGAACCACACATAATGAACCCAGGGGGCTCACGATGGCGGAGGGGCCACATATAATGATTCACAGAATTCTATGCTGAGGGGCCCTATAGCTCCAGGGGTCATGTCAATGTAAACATAGGGGGCAGTTGCGTACCAGAGGGGCCTCATGTATGAGGGGCCACACATACTGTCACAAGCAGGAGCCGTCTTGTACAGGTTGGCGTCTATTCCGAGGAGCCCATTGTCACAGGGGCCACACCGCACCAGACAAGCATGCAAAAACGCCCCCACCCAGATCCGCTGCATGCGAGGGGGCCACAGCCACACGCTGAATGAAAAGACCGGAGCCCCGCCCTCCCCCGGGCAACCACACCCACCTTATAGCGATCGAAGCCGCTGAGCTGCTCGGCGGTGACATATTCCCAACGGAGGGCCATGGCAGGAAGCGGCACCGTCCTCACACACCGCCTGACGGGGAGCACGAGAAGACGACACGTGACGTCACTGCCTCCAATGCGGACGCGGCTCGTAGTAAGGGAAGGTGGGCGGGGGCCATCAGCCGATTCCACCGCTGACTGTGACGTCAGAGACCCAGCCCCCCCTCTCCATCCCCGCCCACCAGCTGTCAAGCTCGGGCGTGACTAAGGCAGTGTGAGGTGATGCTGCAGGGAGGGGCGGGGCATAGCCCCTTCTCCAACCCCCTCCCACCAGTTGTCATGTTCGGGCGTGACTAAGGTAGTGTGAGGTGATACGGCAGGGAGGGGCGGGGCATGCTGGCAGCCCTCATGTCAGCGAAGTGAGGAAAACTGGGACTTGTAGTTCTCAATAGATGTTCATTACTGAACAGCATGAGAAGGAACGCTGGGACTTGTAGTTCTCCTCAGTATTATGAAGCTGTCTGCACAGAGCCAGTCAATAATATCTGAGCCCTTCACACTTTAGTCCCCATTCAGACCATAGCATAGCGTGAACATGCACCGCGGTGACGCATGATTGCGGCCTTTTCTTTCCTGTGTGTGCCGCACGCCCCCATTTACTTCAATGGCGAGCCCTGTTTTTTTCCCATTGACTAGTAATGGCGCCGGCAAGCGCCTTCTGCGTCTTTTTACAAATGTGTGTCAAAGCGCGCCTTTTATTATCCACCCAGACTCCTCTGGGCCCCCGGGTGCCGGCATGGCGGGTCTCTGCGGCAGGATCAGAAGGGAGTTCAGCACACTTCCAGCGGCTGATCTCCCCCTCCGATCACTGAACCAGGTAACCACGTGTATTACATCACTCCCACTTTCACTCATGACAAGCCTCCCAGCTTCCTGATTGGCCGGAAAGCCGTCTCCATCCTCTTCTATCCGCTTTCAGTAATGATCCGCCTCCCAGCTTCCTGATTGGCCGTGAAGCTGACTCCATGCTGTCGGCTGGGAAGTCCATGTTGTTTGGCTGGCTCGATGTTGATTGCCTGGGAAGCCGGCTTCCAGGCCAATCAGCAATGAGCCAGCCAATCAGCATCGAGCCGCCTTCCCGGGCAATCAAGAAGCCGCTGGCCGGCTTCCTGATTGGCTGGGATGCCGACTCCATCCTAGCTGACGGGCATTTCTTCCACCCAGTGACCTCAGATGGCGGGCATTTCTTCCACCCAGTGATCACTGATGGCGGGCATTTCTTCCACCCAGTGACCTCAGATGGCGGGCATTTCTTCCACGCAGTGACCTCAGATGGCGGGCATTTCTTCCACCCAGTGACCTCAGATGGGAACCTTGGGTGACCTCTAACCCCTATCACACTGTGACCGGGCACAGCACTGTCACACCATATTATGCCAATGCGAAACATCAGAAAGAAGTCCAGCAATAAATGATGAAACCTGAAAAGACGATGAGTTATGTCGGCCGAAAATAGCGTCATTTGTATCGTGATTTTAAAGTATCAACAAATACTCTTGCTATTAGACGTTTCTGCTGCTTTTGACACTGTTGACCACCCGCTGCTCCTCACAAAACTCCACTCGCTTGGCCTACAAGACTCTGCTCTCTCGTGGTTCACCTCCTACTTATCTAAGCGCTCCTTTAGCGTCACCTACAATTCTAACTCCTCCCCTCCTCTTCCTCTTTCTGTAGGGGTCCCCCAAGGCTCTGTCCTTGGACCGCTCCTCTTCTCTATCTACACCTCCTCCCTTGGTCAACTAATAACCTCACATGGCTTCCAATACCATCTCTATGCCGATGACACTCAAATCTATCTCTCTACTCCGAGACTCTCTCCCTCAGTGTCCTCTCGTGTCACTAATCTACTGACAGACATATCAGTCTGGATGTCGCAACACTTCTTAAAACTCAACCTTTCACAAACTGAGCTCATGTTATTTCCTTCTTGGTTGGATACCATCTCTGTTAAACGTAATTTTGTGAAGGCAGCAGGCTGTCTGGAGTGCCCATTGTTTGGGATGATGGGATCAAGCTCTTATCTAATTAAGGACATTCATTAGGTTCAAAGAGTGTCTGTGCTAAAGGAATTCCAATGCGGCACCCGGCTGTCTAGGGGAGGGGCTTGTTCACTGTAACACACTGAACTCTTATCTGATTCTGTGAGGTATAAAACTTGGTGTGCTTTCTTCAATAAACCAGTTCATGTTTCCACTCCAAAGTCAGTGTTGTCTGATTCTTGGGGTAAGCCCATGCTATATTCCCTTGTTTCTGGTTCCAGCACCTCAGGGAGCAGGCTTAAAGGAGAACTATGAGGTGAGGTGCTTTTCACTCACCTCATAGTTCTAGCCGACCTGTGACAATGAGACTGTCACAGGTCGGCTCAGTAGATCGGGAGGTGAGCGAACACATAGCGGCGCTCGCTCACCTCTCGATCCTGTCACGGCTCTCTGCCGGATTCCGATCCGGCAGAGAGCAGTTTCCCCCCTCCCCGCTCCTCCAGCGCTGACTGGTGGAACGGACGGGGGAGGGGGCGGGTACAGCTGGCTCTGCCTCTAGATAGGCAGAGCCAGCTGTCACTCACGCAGCTGGGCGGATCTCGACATCGATGTCGGGATCCGCTCCGGCTGCGGCGTCTCAGTATACCGCGAGCTACAGCTCCCTATATACTGAGCTTAGGGTGACGGGAGGACGCTAGTTTGTGTCCTCCCGTTACCCTAAGGAGAACTATGGGGAAAAGCCCTGACCCCATAGTTCTCCTTTAAGACGGAGATATCCAGTCAGGGTATCAGGGAGTCCGTCACAATAATATTCTGTATTCTATTACAAGAATAATAAAGCTCATGAACATTTATAATTCTTCTGCTCAGTTGAAGCAAAATACTGTTTATAATCACTAAATATTTTATGAAGTTCATGCGTAATTTGTTTTGGTATGATGGAACTCTGTGCTTTTTGTTGAGTATGTCCAATTCATACAAATGTTATTAAATGCAAATAAAAATAATATGTATATGCAAAAAAAGTATTGTTTCAGTGCTTTTTAGTCTTAGCCAATCACAATGATTTCACCCTTTTAATCTAATACGGGTTTGAAAATGTTATTTGGCGGCAGAATCCCAAATTACGGGAACCTGTCAAATTGTGATATAACTTTCCATTGTTTGTGTGACACCAGCCCGCTTCTGATACTTCCCGGAGGAGGAATCTTCCGGGATACACACAGCGGTGTCCAGATCAGGAGATTTCTTAAAGGAGAACTATGGGGAGAGTGAAATGCACTCGTCCCCCAAGTCCCCCAAGTTAGAGCCGACCTGTGACACTGCAGCTGTCAGACGTCGGCTCTAGAGATCCAGAACGCAGCGATCACAAACCGCTAATCACTCAGTTCACGATCTTCTCCCTGCAGAGAGCGGTGACTGCCAGTCAGGAATTGTCCCCTCCCCTCTCCATTCCTCCAGTGCTGACTGGAGGGACAGACAGGGGAGGGGGGTGGGCACAGCTGACTCTGGCTCTAGAGAGGCAGAGCCAGCTGTCAATCAAGTTGCGGGGTGTATATTGTCGCGTTCCTTCCCGGCTGCAGCACCGCTGCATGCTGAGTTTCGGGTCACAGGGGGACAATAGTAAATGTCCTTCTGTGACCCAAAAGAGAACTAACACCAAAAAAGTTTTTTTACATAGTTCATTAACCTTTTACTTTACCTGTAAAGCTGCAGAGGGAACTCGAGAGATTGCTGCACAAAGAAGCTACATGAAGCAGGGGCGTAACTAGAAATCACAGGGCCCCGTAGCAAAATTTTGTATGGGGCCCCTTTGATCTCTAGTTACACCCCTTGCAGAGCCCAATTGAGATCCCACACAGCCCACCTGAGGGTGACCCTGCAGAGCCCACCATGGATTCTCTAAGGTGGGCTCGGCAGGGTCACCCTCAGGTAGGCTGGTCACACTCCTTACCTGTCCGCCTCCTCCACCGTCGGTGATGAGCCCCGCCTCCTCCGCCTGTCGCCGGGACCACCCCTCCCTGTCGCCGGGCCCTGCCTCCTCCTCTGATGCCAACCCCAGGCTCCGCCTCCTCCTCCACTGCTGGGTCCAGCCTGCTCCACCGCCGCTGCTGGCTCTCACTGACTCAGCAGCGGCTGTGGCTGTTGAGAGGAACGCGCCGCTGCACAGTTCGCTGTCAGTGATCTGAACAGCGGCACATTTCTCTTCACAGCCGCCATTGACAGCCAGCAGCGTGAGATGCCACAGCGACCCAAGCGGCCCGCAGGGCATCAGGAATGTCCTGGCCGGGCCCCCCTGTGCCCCGGGCCCCATAGCGGCCGCCTGGGTCGCTTTTGTGATTGTTACACCACTAACATGAAGTAACCTTGTGCCGCATACTAGACATGTGCACCGGCAAATAAATTAGTTTAGGTTCGTTTTGATTCGGATTTTGCGTTTTTTTGAGGATTCGGGTCCGAAAGACAATTCGTTTCGGGATTTGGATTTGAACAAAATTCGTTAGCGGTCTGTACGAATTGTCGTTTAGTTCGTTTCAGCAAACTGACATTTTCAAAAAAATAAATAAATGTTAATGTCACTTTGCTGCAACGAAAATTCGTCCACAAACGAAAATGCGTACAGACTGCCGCTAGCGAATTTCGTCCAAAATTCAGATTCGTTTTCATTCGTCATTTTCTGTGTGTATACCTGTTGAAGATTTTCCCTCACTTCCTGTCTGGTAAAACCATTACCAACAGGACAGGAAGTGAGGCGAAATCTCTGTAACAGAGCCCACGGATTGCAGTAAAAACCAAACAGGAATCCCAATGATTTCCCAGATCATCCAAAACTTGATTCCGGCTCGATATCCAATTATGAATTGTAATTTCAGCAAAAACATCTGATTGCTGCTCTGCGTCCGGAGATTTTTCTTTGTGT